GGGGCTTAGAGTCCAAGTTTGGACGGGGACCTGGACCCCTTGACAGAGAGAGTGGTGGGTTGGTCCTGCTTGTGCATGGGGTATAAGCGAGGCATGTGTTTAGGGGTACCCAGCTGGGCACATTGATTTGCAAATCACTAGGTAATCCGATATGACTTGTCTATAATCTAGCACCATAGTAAGAACTGAAAGATGATAGATGGTGAAATGGATCTGTTTGTTCAACTCTTGCTTGAAAGTAGAACATGTCCTTACCTAGAATGATTAGATAATGAATTAATCATGACTGCTAATAAGAAACATACATAAGGATTCACTACTAGTATTGCTTTCTGCAAAAATGAAACCCAGCAAACCATAAAGCTTATCATATCATTTGGAGTCAGGAAATTATTCTCACTAGTCGGGTAAGTCTTACGAGTACATTGTGTACTCAGGGTTTATTTACCCTATTGCAGGTGCAGCTTGAAGGGTAGCTGTTGTATGGAGGATTCTTCTGGTGGGCACAGACGGATCCTTGTATTCTACCGTTAGATGTTTATTGTAATTTCACTGTTTAAATTCCGCACTCTGAACTTGGTACTGTAATAATGTATTTCTAAGAACTCTGGTTGTATGAAATGGACTCAGTATTGTAAATTCGTTCTCATTATTGGATCCTAGAGGAAAAACATGGATTATTCGAGTTCTCCCTTGGGGTGTGCTCAAGGGATGTGCTCGACGGAATTCGTCCGATATAGTGTGCTTTCGGGGTGCTTAGTGTCTGGTGGAAGACGAGCGCCTCCGTAAGTGTGCTCTTTCGGCTGGTTCTGGCACAGTACTTGTTGAATAGAAATAAAATTAAACTCCTCCATTCTCATGAAGAAAACACCTCATGAAGAAGGTTAATAAGCACCTCATGAAGAGGATCACCATGAAGATGAAATCCAACACACTAAGCGTGCGCAACATTAGTGTTGGATATGCAGAATAACAAATCATCTCTTGTTTGAGAAATAACAAAGAGACATAATAATATCATATTATGAGAATATTAGGAGAAAATAATAGTTGCCGACAACGCTACCTCTATAATTGCAAATGTTTCTCTTATGAGAACCTGGATTCGAAAAATAAAGTCTATGCAAAAGTCGCTCGTAGCGATTATATTGGGTCAATGAAGAAAGCAATTGAGGTTGAATCTCCTACTATGAAAAAATAAATGTTCTGCTATATCTCTGGCAAATGAAATAAATGAATATGAAATAATGTAGTTAGTAAGTGGATTTTGAAAATTCATATAGTTCCTAAAGAATAGAAATCGCAACATATGGAAATTAAATCTCATACTAAGTATTAAGAAGTCTAAGGTAGAATATATAATCTTTCATGAATATTGAAGTCTCAAGAAGAGCATGTCCTAAAAGAATAGAGTCATCGAATGACTTTATAGTAAATAACACTATCTCATTGTGTATATCTCAGAATAATCTCTCATATAGTAGAGAATATATCTCGTGGAAGAGAAATATAATTCATTAAAAATAAGAACATCCTTAAAGGAACTAATCCATGAAGGATTTACCAGTCAATTCTTGAATAAACACCATTGATCCATGAAGTGAATATATATCCGAGAGAAAGAAAATAAGGAATCTTAAACACTATGAAGATGTCATATAAACACTCAGAAAGTGCATATCAAAAGCTAGCAAATGAAGTGTTGATATCCTCTAAATACCATAGAAGGTATAAGAATAATGATGATTTTGGCAATTGAATTATCCCCTAAATGCCAAATATACAACTGGATTTATTATTTAATAGTACAATTAAAATTCTAAAGATTTAAAGAACATATAATTTGAAAATCCACTAAGGCAGAATTGTAAGTATTCAAACTCTAGTATAAGTTTGATACACTATCTAGAAGATATTGAATATTGTAACTTATTTACCTATAATCCTTTAAAAGGATTTATTACCCTTAAGGATAAATTTTATTTGTTTTGCACAACTAATAAGTGGTTATTTATGCATGAAGCATATTGCTCTTGTTTACTCTATTATAATTCATTGAAGAATGGTAAGCTAACATTTTGGTATTATGGTACTGCATACCATTATTAAGCACACATTTATGAAAAAAGTGTGGACTGAACAATGAAGTTCAAAGGATGGCTTTATGAGGGGGAGCAATTTGAGTAAATCTACCTTGAAGATAATTAAAACCGCTAGAATTACAAAGATCATGTAGATCATATTTGCTAAAATATTGAAGTTTATGCATATATCATGAAGATAAATATCTATTCATGAAAAATAGAATATCATGAAGAATACATGATTAAGAAAGTTAAATATTGTATTCTTTTTTTCTATGTGAGTTTTTACTTGAAGGTTTCTCATGCAAGGGTTTTAACGAGACAACATGTGCAATGCAATTAATGAATGCAATGTACTCTTTTCTCCAAGAACCATTTTTCCGCTGAATTTTTGGATGGAGTTTTTAACGAGGCATGTGCATATCGTGGTAATCGCCCAAGGGGGAGCGTTGTAAAACATACGAACTCTATCCTAGAAGAAAAGGAGAAGATAAAATTCATAATCCTAGTCCGTTTGTATGTGGGCTTTTACTAAACTCTTAGGCATTGGCAGGACTATATATATGTGAGAGCTCTATGTTGCAATTACGAATATTCAAAGAAATAAAGAATAATCTTCCTATCTTATATCTATTTATTTTTCTACTTTTATCTACTATGTTAATCATGAGAGACGGAGAGAGAAATGTTCTAATCGTTGAGAACATGTTTTATAACCGTCACAAACGAAAGGCCCAAGTAGGTGAGGCCCAATAATCATACGTGAGGCACATCAGGTAGCAGCAAGTTTCTTTCAAAAAAAAAACAGGTAGCAGCAAGCAACAGGCAGCGTATGCGTAATTCCATCTATGGCACCTCGCGCAGTCAGTCACTTGGGAGTTGGGAGGCAAGGACCCGAGAAAAAAAACGGTCGGGAGAAGCTTAGCACTGTTTTCGTTCCGGTGCATGTGCTTCAATTACCGTTTCCACTTTCCGACTGAATTCGGATTTTCGTGACTAAAACTGGAAACGGAATAAGGGCCGACGATTTTGCCAAAAAAAGGGGCATGGCTATCGGCCACCGTTAGTTTCAAAGTAAGAACGGCAGTGCTAGCGCCCGGATGTCCGGAGGAATGTTCAGTCGCTCACGCCTGCACTCTGTCTCCCCCCGTGTACCTACATCCCATGCCAGCCTACGTGGGTCCCGCGCCGCTTGACTGCACGTGGGGAGTCCCCGCTCGCACTCCCTCCGCTTCTCACACGCATGCACGCGGCCAGTGACTACATCATGTGGCTACGCTAGCATCTAGAAGACAGGGAGGGGCGACAGATGCTCAGCCAGCGCCGAGAGGAGGAGGAGACACTGGGGCGAAGGTGAGGCAGCAGAAAAGCAAGGACAGAGATACAACACCCGATCTAGTTTTCAAACATCCGGATGCAACACTTGTAACATACGTTTGAAGGCAGATGAAACACATGAAACATGCATTTGAAACACTAACTGTAACACCAGATTTACTTTTGAAACATAAAAAACACACGCAACATATGTACGAAACAGCTGAAACACTCGAAATATGCATATGAAACACTTGCAAAAACACCTGAAAATACTTCATATGTGTGAAAACATATGCAACATCCAGATGAAACACTTGCAAACATACGTCTCGAAAACGAGATGAAATATTTGGAACATAAACTTGAAACATAGCAACTGCAATATGTGTAATATTCCGATCTACTTTTGCAACATCAAGATGAAACACTTACAACATCCAGATAAAACATCTGAAACACTTGAAACATACTCTTGCAACATGAGCTTTGCTTGGACGAATGGAGGCACGCCAGCAGAGGTCGACGGCGCCGCATGGACCTCGCTGTGCGGCAGCGACATGGGCAACTCGCCGGTGGGCGCAGCGTCGCACAAATCTCGTCCCCCTCGCCTGCTTGCTGGAGCATCCGTCGTGGAGGTTTGCCGGCTTGGTGGAGGTGGACGCAGCTTGCCAGCTCGGTGGAGGCGGTTGCGGCAAGGGGGCCAGCCACGGTGGAGGCAGCGTGGAGGAGGCCGCAGGGGATAGGGCGTGGCGCAGCGCTGCGGGGGACCGGCGGCAGCGAGGCGGAGTGAGGTGGACGGATGGCCACGGCGACGCAGGGAGGAAATGGCACAGCGAACATCGGGGTGCGCGGATAGGGTCGCTGGTGAGCGGCGCGTGCGGGAGTGAGCGGAGGGATCGAGGCGTCCGTCCATCCGGACTTCTTATAATTGTATCATTATCGAAGTAAGAAACTAAACTGCAGATGACTTTATCCTGTGATAATAGGACGCCGAGCTTCGGTTTACAGTCAAGTCTTTTTCTTATATACGTCTGCAAAGAGAACTTCTGAGCCTCAAACATATATAAGTTGCACTAAGCTTCCATTTAAAGTTGACATTTTTTTTATTGCTCATGGAGGAAGTCCATTCTGTTTCTCACTCGACTGGAGATAAAACCTTGCTAAACCCACGACGCAAGCAATCGTGCATCAGGATTTGGTAAGAAGTTATTATAATACTGTATCTCGCACATCACATGACATTGTGCCCCAGTTGCTTAACCTTAAGGTCTTGACCGTTGATAATACAATTATATCACCCTTCTAGTTCTGTGTCAAATCGGAGATGATTAATATTAACTGAAACTGACCTATTTTGTTATCCCCTCTTGTGCTATGGTCTGCTGCAAGAACATCGATCATGTATTCCTTCATTCCCTGTAGTCACCGGCTACAGATCAGATTGACCCGGCCTGCCGTGCAGCCAACCAAACACAAGAGCACGTCGCTCTCTGGTATCGTTTCCTCAGATATATATACTCGCAGCACTGCCTGCTATCCCCAGCTTGTGTTAATTGTGCCGCAGGAAGCAGGCAAGAGGAAATAAAGTAGAGGAGGATGGACGCCGATGCTGAGCTTGGAGAGGCGCTGGCCATTATGTTCACGGTGACCGCTTCTGGGCTTTTGGTCATCATCATCGGCAGTGGAGTTCGTCGTCTCAGAACCCGGCGCAGCATCTCCGCTCTTCTATGTAGTGTTCTTGCGGCGTTCTGGGCGTGGGGCTTGATCAGGGTAAAGAGGTTGAGCTTCTGGCTCCAGCGCAATGGCCCCTCCGACCAAACGTTTCCGTTGATGCCAATACATTTGTTCGAGATCGTGTCATCTCTGATGCTGCTTTCTAATAACACTGCTGTCTCATATTAGACCTGGTCGAGGCAACTTGCAAGGTGTTTATAGAGTATATAAATTATTACTGTATAATCCATGCATATATACACATCATTCTATGCATACACTACTGAATTGGACCCGGTATATTGTGCATACACTACTGAACTGCTCTTCCTCGTCGGACTGGCCATCACGGGCTACGGCATGGGCGTCGTCTTCCATGGTGACTCAGGCGTCTACTTCATTCCCACCGGCTTCCTGGTACTAGTCAGCACCGGCGTCCGGTCACACCTTGACACCGTGGGACGTATGGCTGCTGTTTCCCCCATCGTTTACATTTTTGTGCTCCTGGTGGCCACCTATATAGCAGGGGATTGGTAGTAGCTACTACAGTGATTTCCAATAAGTGGAGCCACTGTTCCCTTTTCTTTTTTTCTTTTTTGAAGCAAAGCACTCTTCCCTTTTCACAGTAATAACAAACTCAACGTAGTCCTTGTGCCTGAGCTCGACTTAGTTGCTGTAGATTAGATCTTCTACAAACAGATTGCTGTATGTATTCAGTTGTAACAAATAAATGTAGTCAATGCAAGGGAGGTCGAGCATATATCCATCAAGGACTAGTTGTGACCCATCAAGTGTCGATCTATGTACAAACAGACATCAACACGCGTGAAAGCAAGGGAGGTCGAAAGAGCAGTAGAGGGAATCGACTATGACGACGCCTTTGCACCTATTGTGCGCATGGAGTTTGTCCGGGTCCGTCTCGCGCTGGCGGCTCAAGAAGGCTGGCAGGTCCAGCACATGGACGTCACATCCATCTTCCTCAACAGCAACATGAGGGAGGAAGTCTACATGCGCCAGCCCCCTGGGTTCGTCGTCGCCGGCCAAGAAGAGAATGTGTACCGCCTGCGCAAGGCCCTCTACGGCTTGCGTCAGGCCCCGCGTCTTGGAACGCTAAAGCTGGACGCCACATTCAAGGAGATGGGCTTCCAGTAGAGCGTGCACGAGGCGGTCGTGTACCAACGGGGCAGCGAGCGCTCTGTCTTGCTTGTTGGCATCTACGTCAACGACCTCATCATCGTGGGCGCAGAAGAGGCGGGGGTGGAGGTGTTCAAGGCGAAGATGGGGTCGACGTTTGACATGAGCGATCTCGGCCTCCTTTGCTTCTACCTTGGCGTCGAGGTGCGCCAGGACAGCTCCGGCATCAGCCTCCGCCATATGCACTACGCCAAGCGCATCCTCGAGCTAGGTGGCTGGATGGCTGCAATCCAGCTAATACCCTGATGGAGGAATGGCTCAGGCTAAGCCGCTAGAGCACGATGGAGGAGGTCGACCCAACGCTCAACCGGCGCATCATCATCATCAGTAGCCTGCGCTACCTGGTGCATACCCAGTCGAACTTGGCGTTCGTCGTTGGGCACATGAGCCGGTTCATGGAACGTCCCACGGTGGAGTACAAACAAGCCATCAAGAGGATCCTGCGGTACTCCATGGCGGGCACCCTCGACTACGGTCCGCACTACGCAAGAGACCCTGGCGCGGCGCACTTCGTCGGCTACTGCGACAGCGACCTCACCAGCGACATTAACACAACCAAGAGCATGAGCGAAACAATGTTCTTTCTCGGCAAGTGTCTTGTCAGCTAGCAATCACTCAAGCAGCAAGTCGTGGCTCTATCAAGCTGTGAAGCTGAATACATCAGCGCCACCTCTGCTGCAACTCAAGCTCTATGTCTATCCAGGCTACTGGGAGAGCTGCTCGGCAGGGAGGCCGAAGCCGTGAAGCTAAGGATGGACAACAAGTCTACTCTAGCTCTGGCCAAGAACCCAATCTTCTATGAAAGGAACAAACAGATCAGGATAAGATACCACTTCATTAGAAGCTACTATGATGGGAGTGTGAAAGCCAACCATATCAGCACTACTGATCAGCTTGCTAACATCCTCAACAAGTCACTTGGAAAGCAAAGTTCCAGGAGATGAGGGGAAGGATTGAGCTGATTCAGATCAACTCCAGGACTGAGCGCAAGGCTTAGGGGCTGAATTGAGAGTTAAGCCTATATGCTTCTCTCTAGTTATCTAGCTATCTCTAGTTTGTTAAAGCTGATTCCAGCATCTTATCTTCAGGCACTTTAGTGGTTAGAATATGCTCTTTAGTTGTTGAACTTGTTATGCTTTTCTTCTGTACCAAGTATTGCTTTTGCCTATATATGGAACTACAAGCAGCCAGTGTTATTGCTGCCATCTAAACCAATTCCCAATTCCCCAATTGTGTGTTACCTGGCCATCAATATTCAGCAGGAAGCATAAGGGCTATTCTGTATTGCATATGTACAGTAATCAGAAGAACTATTCTGATTGAAGAGAATCTGGATACCTATACATGTAACCTCACCAGTGTTGGCTGGGTGAGCGACATTCATCTACATTGTGTCATTACCTAACAGGACCTTGCCTAGAACTTTGTATGGTGAAAACACCACTTCATATTTATATTACAACCTTCTCATCGGCAGTCCATTTCTCAGGCAAAAAGGATATCCATCCCAATGGTAGCAATGCAGCCAAACTTTGCAGCAAAATACCCAAAGGCAAGCTTGAGTAGTCCACAGAAGACACGCCGATCAGGGTGGACAATCCAACTCCAAATACTCCACTTAGTATTCCTGAAAACACCAGTCCAGATGTGAAGAAGGCGAACAAAGAACCTTCGCAGCCTGGTGGGCAGAGACTTGACAACAAAACCGAGAATGGCAAGACCTTGAACTGAGCTAGAGCTTCAGCTAGAGCTGAGAAGCAAAGAACATGAATCTCGTTCGGTATCCCTAGCACAAGGTTTATTTGTTTCACAAGGACCAAATCTGACAAAACTGCCAAAGCATATAGTATCTGAAGTCCACTGGTAAGGCACCTCAGCGGGATCCTTTTAAGATAACGATTGTAGAGTATAGTTAGTGATAACACCATGACCTGTCCCACAACTTTCGATAGACCAATGACTGATGGATCAAGATTCAAATACTGTGTTTGAAAGCAGAACATGGTTCCAGAAAAAATAGGCACAACAGCAAAGGATGTCATGATCCATGTAAGAGGGTATAAGATCCTTTCCTTGCTGATCGCTGTCATCAAGTTTGAGAATTGTTTGTGGAAGTTAGTTGCCAAAGAGCTTTTGACAAGACGATTTCTGGAGTTTCCTCGAGAGCTTGGCAATGTCTCTTTTGTACTTAGGGACAGTGCTAGCTGGAAGCCAAGAAGGACTGAGAATGCTGTGAACATGATCTTTGGTTCCTGTGTTTTAAGCAGAATGTAACCACCAGACAAGTTCCCCAGTAGGGATCCTGCAGCCAGGGCTATGAATGTGTATGACTGCAGTACACCAGCCTTCTGTGTTCTACTGAACTCCGTGACAACAGCATCACTTACAACTTCTGTGACAGATGCTCCAAGATTTCCAATGAGAATGCATGCCATTTGAGTTGGAAATGCATCCCCTGTAACTGGAGTAATTGCAAGTGTTCCCCAAGCAATAAGCTGCAGCAACACTGAACATAGCCAACATAAGTTCAAGTCAGTTGTATGGTTTCCAAAAAACAAAAGTGAGCTGTGTACTTTCTGATTAACAGCTGAGTAACAAATAGTTAAGACACTGAACAGTTTGACAGTAAAACCACAGGATCAACAAAAGCATCATAAAATAAATCTCTAAATACCTTTTAATTATATAATTGTAGCTTAGTGACTAGTCCTGATCTTCCAGCATGAAATTTATTGTTCTATAAAGTGAAAGCAGCTGGTTTGCACTTTCTGATTGGTGATTGCAGATATATTCAATTCAATTGTACAACTCATTAGTTTATTGAAAAAAAGAATTCTGTGCAAAAATTAAAATTAGCATTCCAGCACAAAAAAGATTAACACAAGACAAATAATAGAGTAATATGCATCGTGGGCTCTTGAACTTGTCTTGGGGTGCCACTTAGGTCCACAAACACTTAAATCGTACTTCTGGCACCCTAATGTTGTTTAAGTATGTCACTTAGATCCATAACTCATTGGAACAAGGTTTTGGCCGACGAGGCGTGGACAGCGTGGCGCAAGCGCACGTGAGCCGTGCGTGAGCCTGCGTCGTCCACCGGAACTCGACGACGTCGTGAGACGGGTCGCCCGCGTCGTCGTCCTCGACGAAGATCTTGCAGCTGCCGTAGCACGTCTCGCACGGCACGAACCGAGACTTTTTGCCACGCGCGCGCGCGCGCGCCCATGTACCCGAAGCTTCGCGAGGGCACGGCTCGCACCCCTCCGGTGGCGCCCGCCTCCTCGTGCAGGGCGTGCACATCCTCGGCGCCGCCCGAGGTATCGGCGTCGACAAACACGCTGCGGGAGCGCTGCGCCGCTGGCCGGGCCGAGGAGCTCCACGAGCTCGGCCTTGAAGACGCGTGCATGGAGACGTCGCGCTTTCGTCTAGGCGCGCGCCGTAGTAAGCGCCGCGATGCGAACGCACGGAACCAGCCTGCCCTCTCGCGCGGCCGCTCACCGGTGAGCCTGCGCCCCGGCGACTCCTCGTCCCCCCCGGCGCTCCCGGCTCTGCTGCGGCCTCCACCGGCGCCGTCGCCCGCCACCACCACCCGCTCTGCTCATTGCTCTGCGGCGCTGCTTTCTGCTGCCGTCTTTGTGCCGGAGCTCGACTTCAGCCCCGACCGCGCGGCGCGGCGGCGTCCATCAAGCTTCGCATCTTCGCCGTGTTGTGCCCGGAGTAGGATGAACACAGTCCGGCTCCGGCGCGGCGTCCGTCGAGCTCACATGCGCGCGACGGGTGGCCATGCTCCTGACCGCATTTGCCGGCGGCGACGTCGTAGCGGGACAACCAGACCAGCAGAGCGCGCTTCTCCGTCCTGTGTGCGAGCGTGTGTGTTCGGCCCGTGTTGTTGCTGCTGCTGCTGCTTCTGCGGCTAGCTAACTCACTTGACGGCGCTTCGTCGGCGGCGGTGCTTCGCCAGCGCTGCAACTTTGTTTCACAAGACACTTTGCGCCGCGCCGGCGGCGCTTCTCGCTACAGACGCTTTGCTGCTTGCTTATGCTCGGTCGCGGCTCGTGAATGTGTCTATGTGTGCCGGCGACATCTCGCCACAAGACACGTCGCGCGCGCGTTCGTCCGGCCGCCGCAACACACATTCGCATCGCGAGGGGACGGCGCGCAGAAGCGGCGGAAGGAAGAGGAAGGAACCGCGATAGCGGCACCCTCCCCCCTCGGCGAACCACGCAGCACGCCGCTCGCCTCCTCGGCCTCGCGACGCTGTCACGAAAGCACGACCTTTTGCGCGCTGCTGCGCTAAGCTCCGGCCCGGCACCGGCGGCGGGCGGCGGCGGGGCGCGCGCGCCGCGGCACCCGGCAGCCCGTGATGAGCCACGGTTTGGGAAGCCGGCTCGCCAGCGCGCTATCTATCGCTGGCCGCCGGTGTGCTCAACTGACGGCGGCGGCTATGCTGCGGCGTGCTGTCTTGCGACCACGGCTCGCTGGCTGCGGCGGCGGCTCGTGCATGTTCTGTCTGGCGGCTTTCTGTGCATGCGACTTTTGCGCCGCGCCTCGCATGCATGATGCACGCCGCGTTCCACAATGTGGCTGCTCATGCATGCTGCTCGCTGCGCGGCGGCTGCTCGTGCATGCTGTTCGCCTGTGCCCCTATGCGGTGGCGATGGCAGCGGCTCGCCTGGGGAAGACGATGATTATTTTCAAAACAGTCCCCCAAAGCAGGCTCACGCGCGGCTCACGTGCGCTTGCGCCACGCTGTCCACGCCACGTCGGCCAAAACCTTGTTCCGATGAGTTATGAACCTAACTGACATACTTAAACAACATTAGGGTGCCAGAAGTACGATTTAAGAGTTTGTGGACCTAAGTGGCACCCCAAGACAAGTTTAAAGGCCTACGATGCATATTACTCCAAATAATAAATCAAATGAAGGACAAAATCCAGAAAGTACAAATAATATGAGCAGACAATTTAATAGTATTTCAATTAGACTGCAGTTATTTGTGCAAGGAGATGCATCTCTACTTCTCAAGAAGCTGTCCATATCATAGTACGGCAAGGAAACTATACGTGATGCACTAATGACAAATGAGTTGTGTAGTCTTGATGGGAGAACCTATGTAAATCTAAAGGTCAGTAGCTTTCAGTGATTTGTGGTCCTAAAGATACAGTCCCATCTGCGTATTCTCATAGGAACCACAAAATAAGGGACCATTATGAGAATACCAGCTTACCAGCAGTCAGATTGTGTGACTAGCAGCATGAGTAAATCACACGTCATTGCATCAAGAACCACAGAATAAGGGTAACCTGTTGGTTTAACCAACTTGATAAGGCTTGAAATGTGTGACTAGCAACAAAATCAAAGTACACATCAGGAAGGAAAGTGTATTGCTCCATCCCAAGGCTGCACGTGCCACTTTCCAAAACGTATCTTTTACACGGACTAGGTAGCATGCCCGTGCGTTGCTACGGGATAACTAACAATTTATACTAAAAACACACGGATCGCACGATAAGATAACAATACTGTTAAATTAAATATCAACGTTAAATTGACATTTAATCCAAAAAGTAAAGTTTATGAATTTAACACAGTCACAGAGTGCGCGGCGTCGCAGGCTCACAAACTCTAGAGCTTCTAGAGATTGGGTCGAATCCAACCTAGAGCCTTGGAACCCTGCATCTTTTTCTGGACGGGCTTCACTTCGGATGCGCCGGTAGCAATATCAACGATCTCCGGTCGATGGACCAAGTCGTATGGAACCCCATACAATGGCTCAGACATGTAGATTTTGTTCTCCTTATACTTGGATACACTTGTTCCACTGAAGCTTTCATTGAAATGTTTAGACACGAACGATTAATCGATCACCGATGTCCTCACCGGACCACTCCGGCGTCACGGTCGTGAAGGTTGCACTTATAGATCATGCTGCAGTGGGTGAAGCTCATGTCTCGTGGAACGTGCTCACCATGGCACCCACAATGTGCAACTCACCGTTTGATTCGTGTAGTCTGCGGCGGCGAGAGCCCGCGGTGGCGGCAATGATGGCGGCGGCTCGTCATTGATTGGAGTAGCGCCGCGGCGTTGTTGTTTGCTGCAGACGGAGATTTCTCCAGTCAGATCGATCACCAAGAACTTGTCTTGGCGATGGGCGATGGACCCCACGGAGAACTCCGGTTTGGTGTCGGCGGCGTCCATGCGCCGTCGACTCAAGCCGCGAAGCGCGACCTCAGTGGAGCACCCAAGCATGGCCATGGCCACGCACTCGCGGCTTCAGGCGGCGCCGAGAGCACGATCTCATGGAAGAACACGTCCCTCATGTCTTCTAGCTTGATGGCTCTGCCTGCGGCATCCGCGTCCCCGTGGCCGTTGGTGGGATGAAGGACCCACCGGCCGTGGACCCTAGACATGCGTTCCGATGAGGACGCCGCCGCGACGTGTTCGCCTGCCGGCGGGAACTCAACGCGGGGGGCACGGGCACCGGCGAATGGATTCAACAGCGTTACGGACGCCGCCTCGTCCATGAGCGCCAGCCACCCACACGAGGAGCTGCACGCCACCTTGCCGCGCACGTCGGGCAGCGTCTTGGACAAGACCTTGTTCTCCGGGACGCAGTAGAAGCCGACGCGGTCCGAGTCGGGATCGAACGGGAGCAGCAGGAGCGGCCCGAAGGTCGCGAACGGGACGGCGGCGCGCCATGGGGAGCAAGCGGATCGGAAGGACGCCGCGTCGTGGCCTGACGCGATACGTTACCCGATGGACTCGAGGAGATCCTCTGGCAGGCCAGATCTCCAGTTAGGGAGAGGTAGGGAACTTCTCTTGGGATTGGGAGGCTGAGCCATGGAAGACCGATGATATCAACTATGGTTCATGCAAGAAACAGCAAGCGAGGACGATGGAACACGTGAGCGTGAAACCAAATGAAAGGAGAAAAAAGTTGTCCCTTTTGCAAATGCAAAGAGGGAAAGTAATTAAATATAGACAGATTTGACAAGGTTCTCAGAAATGCAAAGAGGTTTCTTTTGTCTTAATTCTCATTCCTTCTGTGTTAATTCTCTTTCCTTTTGCTCGTTGCCATGTATGCTGGTGTATGCAAACATGCAATGTGTATATGGATAGCACAATAATTTTCTACTTCCTATTTTGTCGTGATTCCTCTATCACATGACAGGCAATATTCAATCAAGGAGAATGGCACAATCAATCAGTAATTAAGATGTCGTGGGATCGCAGGCGTGAGCAGACGAATGAACCAAAACAAATGTCGCACAAAAAAATGTCCACACTTTGTAGGAGAATATGTGCAACAAGTAAAGGTGCTGGGCATGATACCATTGCCAATGGAACAAGGCACCCATGTTTATGTGCTAAACACTTAAGTGCTTTAAACAGCAGTAGCTTGAAAGTGTTTTTTCATGTTTTTTATCTGACAATCAGATGGTTAGCACCACACATGTTGTAATGAGAAATCGACATCAGTTGTTGAACTCCAATGTCCAGGGTGTTTCCAATTTCAGAAAGAGACGTGAAATAGATGTCCCTTTCAATGTGTTTAGCGGCTCAGAAATTTTCGTAGCTAGCTGTTGCTTTCAATGTGTTCAACGGCTCAGAAATTTTCGGAGCTAGCTGTTGCTTTCAATGTGTTCAACGGCTCAGATATTTTCGTAGCGGTTAAAATTCATTCTTACTTTTGTAGAAATAATTAAAGAAACAGTGAAATATGAGACCAGACAATCGCTAGAGGAATACAGCCAGATTTCCTCCTGCAAATGTTTGATTGTTTCGAAATTGATGATCACATTGCTGGAGTCGCACGAACATAAATAAAAAATTAAAACGAAAATGAACGGGGAACGGGGAACGGGGAGGAAAAAGGGATCGGCTTTGTACCTCCGAGGGAGACGTAGGGGAGGCGGTGCGCGCGGCCGATGTAGACGGCATCCGAGAGGACCCCGAAGAGCGGCTTGGCGACGAGCGGGATGCTCCCGGCGTTCTGCACGAGCTGCAGGCCGGCGGGGCTGAGACCTAGACCGCGCGTGAGGTGAAAGTTGAGAGCCAGCCACGGGAAGCAGCGGAACCCCTGCACGCAGTACCCGACCCCGCACACCCACCACACCCGGCGCATCTCCCGCAGCGCCCCGCGCCGTTCGGCAGCGGGCGTCAGACGTGCGGGCGCGGTCACTGGCGGCTTGAAGGCCGGCGCGGCCGAGGAGTCCTGGAACTTGGCCAGCAGGCGCCTCTGCTGCCGCTCCTCCGGCGTCGTCGGCATCCGGAAGCATAGCGTGACGCCGATGCCGCGCGCGCTCCTGCACGAGGCGGCGGCGGGTCGCGCCGTCGCGCTGCGGGGGAGGTGGACGTGCAGGTGCGGCGAGCACGGCGAGAGGCAGAGCATGGTGCCGGCGTCTCCCGTCGTCCGCGCGGCGGCGGGCGGGCGGGCGGGCGGGTGGAGGGGGGCAGGAATGCGGAGGCGACGAGAGCGGAGCGAGGTGGTGCGTGCGGGCGTGTGGTGGAGAGATTAAGGTGGTGTGGCCGGGCTTAGAGGAGGCAGTGGAAGAAGCGCGGGCGGAAGAGGCGGAGAGACTTCTGGAAGACGAGAACGGCCGCGCTGCTTCGGGGGTTTCCTGTCTTTTGGTGCCCATGCCTTGTGGGGTGTGGACTGTCTGTTGTGGCCTGGTGGGGACGCTGGGACCCCGCCTCTCCGGAAGCATTCTTCATCTCCGATGCTGATGGTTTTGACTAGCGTCAGGACGTTTGAACGGACATCAGTATCCGGACGCCCGTGTCTGATCTGCTTCCTAGCACGTAGCAAGTGGATGGCGCAGACCTGGAGTCACCACGTGGACATCGCGCAGCTGTCGGCCCACCCGGACCACTATCTCTGCGGGCGTTCGCCCCCGAGCCATGACGAGATGGAGGGAAGGGAAGGGAAGGGAAGGGAGAGGAGAGCAAAGGAGAGGAGACGGGCGAGGCACACCACGCGAGGAAGACACGAGGCAGGAGCCGAAGCCTCGCGACAGGTTCGCTGTCCGTCAGCCATCGACGCCATTGCAATATGTACAACACCTCGATCTATTTTTAAAACATCCAAACGAAACATTTGCAACACACGTCTGAAGGCAAATGAAACACTTAAAACATTCGTCTGAAACATTTGCAAAAACATCTGAAAAACACTTAAAAACCATTGCAAAACATATGCAACATCCAGATAGCAACACCCAATATAAACACACTTGCAACGTGCTTCTGAAAAACAGATGAAACATTTGAAACACACACTTGCAACATACATGTATAACCATGGCAACATATGCAACATCCCGATCTATTTTTGCAACATCGATGTGAAACACTTACAACACACCTCTGAAATACTTGAAACATACTGTTGCAACGTGCGCTTTCAACGCAATGTCACCTAGGCTGTTTGGACGAATGGAGGCCTCGTCATTGCGGAGCTCGCGGTGGCAGCGCATGGAGCTCGCCGGTGCCCCAGTGGAGGCAATGCACCACCCTGGGCGAGCAGAGCAGCCTAGGCGAGCACAACAGCCTAGGCGAGCACGTGTGCGAGGCCGCGACTGGCGAGCTTGACGGCCTGCTCAACGAGCTCCCTGGCGAGCACCCCTGGCTGGCGTGCACCCTACTAGGCGAGCACCGTTGGGTAGAGATTTTTTTTAGGGGCACGATCGGGAATGAGCGGATGGCACCGTAGCGAGTGGAAAGCCGCGTTCGTCCATCCGGATGTCCTCGATAGAGCATTATCGATGTTCAAACGAGATGTGTTTATACTAGGAGTACATTCTTATATAGGATTAATAACAATTAGTTAGTTTATCCATTTATGTATAGATTATAATTATTTAGTTATTTTATTATTTTATATTTACTTAGTTTAGGTTATATTTTGTTAGTATGTCTAGGTTATATTTACCTAGTAGTTTGTTTGCATCACATTGGGTTTAATTTACAGGGCTGTGTATCCCTAGTACTTTGTTTGGATCACATAGGGATGACCTCGTTGTATATTTATGTTCATGTTAATGCAATGCATTTTATTTGTTACAACATTTTTTTCAAATTGTTTCCATGTCTTTGTGAACCAAGATAGCGCAACATCCAGTGTACCCCTGTTTGAGAGGTTCTACGACGACAAGCATCGAGCCCACCTGTTTATGGACGTAAACCCGAAACCACCATTGAGCCCATTGAGGTCACGGAACCACACTCTGCACCTCTGGGACGAGCGGTACGCGTTGTACCTACGGTGTGCCAATTTCCTCGAGCTTGCCTGGGTTGTGAACTCCAGGCTACCCGACCTCGACCTAGCACTACTCACCGCTGTCGTGGACCAATGGAGGCTGAAGACCCACACCTTCCACCTTCGCTGCTGCGAGATGACAATCACACTGGAGGACGTCACCCTAATTTTTAGGCTGCCGTTGGATGGACCAACGATTAGTGGGATCCTCAACACTAAGACCTAGAGAGACCTGGTGGAGCAGTACTGTGAGATTAGGCCACCTAAAGTAGCGGAGGCTGCCATGGGCGGATTTCAAGGGTATTCCCTTGTATTCCTGGGAATACCTAAGAGCATCTCCAAGAGTGTCCTATATCCCTTCCCCATCCTTGGAATTTGGGAAAAAAGAGAAAAACTAGTCTCCAAGAGTTCCCCATATCTCAGCCCCATCTTTGCGCACTTCGCAAAATTACCGTGACCGCGCGTAAAAATACGCGCTGCTCCGTCGCGCGCATATCCTCGTTCCCGCTCCTTCTCGTGCTTCCCGCGATAAATTCCAACGCCGTCTCCTTGGCGCCATAGCACAGGCTCCATCGATCTACTGCTACGTTCGTCGAGGGCAGAGGATCTTCGCCGCTGCCGACCATGAGGTAAACTCCATCGATCTACTTCTCCATTCAGGTGTTTTGCCGTTCATAGGGTTATCCAAGCTGCCGCCGCCGTGATTGGCCGCCGCCAGGATTGGCCGCCTGGGTCTTGTCGTGGAGGCCGGCGGAGGCGTAGATGGCCTGGCCTTCGCGGAGAGCGCACCAATGATCCGATCGAGTCGAGTGCTCCGCATCGGGCTTTTCCTCCGGCTGTGCCCATGATCCGATCAGAGCGGCGGACAACCGGGTTCGGCGGGCGCCTGGCCAAGCTGCGTCGCCTTGCCGTGGTCGCCTCACGCCTCGACCTACCATGGCTAGCTTGCAACCGCCGCTATTTTTTTATGGAACTGCTATTTATTTTTTGATGAAACTGCTATTATATTCTTGCACGAATGTATATGCTCTCGCGTCTTGCGGCGTGTATCTTGATGGGAGAGAGGAGGCTGCATGGCACTTTGTCTTTGTACTAAAATTTTCCTCGTATTGATGGCCATTTGGTTTTGATACCTGTGCTACTGAATGGCTGAATGATTGGTTGACATGATTGTGCTACAAATGGCCGGCAAATGCCGGTGCTTTTTATGAAACTGCTATTTTTTCATTTCCTGATCTATGATTCAGTATAAATATTTTTCATGTACATGGATTAAGCATTGAATTATTGTAGGATGGACCCAACGTTCGATGGTCGATATTGGACAAATATGGTCACCGGAGAGGAAGATGCTCCTGGTTTGGAAGACTACACTTTTCCCATGACACAGGACACCCAGGAAATTGATGAGATGTGTCTTTGAAGTTCAAGCGCTTGATGTGCTTGCAGCAGACCAAGTGGAGGTGCTCCACGCCCTCAAATACAAGGCCTTATTCAAGAGGACAAAAACTTTGATCCGAAGGAGGATTTAGTTGTTGTGGCGACTTGGTTGAACACGAGCAAAGATCCCGTGCACGGGGCTAATCAACCTCATGGCTCCTTTTGGAGTAGAATTCATGCTTTTTATGAGAAACACAAGACAACTGAAGTGTTCAGAACAGAGAGTTCCATTATGCATAGGTGGATAACTATTTTGGAACAAGTGAACAAGTTTTGTGCATGCTACCAAGCGATTGAGCGTAGGAATCAAAGTGGTGCAACCATTCAAGACAAGGTTTAATTTGTTATTTATTTCATTTGTTCATTTGTTTTGTTTTCCTATTTGATTTATTTGTGGAGATATACACATTGATGATTAATAACATGTGCAGGTTTCTGATGCGGCCGAGATGTTCAAGGGATTAGACAGGGAGAACAAGACATTCACTCTAATGCACTGTTGGAACAAGTTGAAGGGTGAAGACAAGTGGAAGGCCGAGAGGAAGAGAATGGCAGAGCAGCAAGCCAGTAAGAATAAGAAGAAACAAAAGATTAATGCGGATTCCACGCCTATAAATGTACAAGTCAATAACAATGAAGATGTCACTGAGATTCCACCACCAAAATCCGAAGCACGAAAGAGGCCAATGGGTTCGAAGAAGGCAAAGGAAGTTCTAAGGCGAGGAGGTGGTGAAGCTTGCATGGAGGCTTTGGAGAAGATGTGGGCTAAAAAGGAGGCTTTTGAGATGGAGAAGGAGAAGAAGAAAGAGGAGAGGTTCATGGCTTCACTTGAGCTAGAGAAAAAGTGCCTATCATTAGATGAAAAAAAAGGTGGAATCAGACCTCATCGAAAAGGAAGACAAAATAATGTCAACCGACATTACCAACCTCGACCCGCAGCAGCAACAGTACTACACGACGATGCGCCAGCAGATCATTGCTCGTCGTCTTGCAAATTAGAATTAGTTCATGTAATTTTATTTCTATAGCCAATTTGTTTTGGATTCAGTGATTCAGTGAACCTTTATTTTATCATAAATGGTCAAGTGCTTTTTAATTTGTATTATTTATATATTCAATGAAACTTTGTTCTTGCCTGAATGTATATGCTACTATGCCGCAAATGCCTGTGCTTTTGACATGACCGGCAAGTAGTGCAGCTGCTGTTCCTGGTCCTCAACGCATGATGCATGCACATCCTGTGGTGCATGGAACTGTTCTTTTTACATGACTAGGTGTTGCTGCTGCCTGGGAACTGCCTGCTGCGGTCGGCAGGAAGGAGGCGGCGGCGATGATCTGCCCACAGCGCACGAAAGAGGCGACGCCCCTGCTGAAAGAGCGACGTAGGTTTATGCGGCACGGGAAAAAATGACCACAAAAAATAAAAAATGTTGTGGGCCTTAAATTTGATTTATTGGAACTCAATTATGGGAAACTCTTGGAGATGAGCTTTTTTTCTCCTCCCAATACCTTTTGGGGAGTTGCAAAACTCCAAGATTTAGGGAAAAAATTTGAGGCACTGTTGGAGATGCTCTAACTATTTGGGACACCTTTATGTATATACTCATGTATATATGTATAATACACCGTTTTGCAGCATTTTCACTCAATTTAGCTCAAAATCTTAGAGTTGACTAGCTGAACAATTTGTTATT